CCCCCCCCAGCCTATCTCTACAGCGAAAAGGGGAACAAATAAAAGCAAAGTTCACACCTTCTGAATATTCCTTTCGACGAGAGCAAAGTGGCAATGTGTCCCAAGTCCGCTCCGAAGTAAACCCTCCTGCCCTGCCATTTCCCATGCACAGCGACCGAGGACCTTAAGGGAAAAGCTGCTTTTGGACTGATTATCACTTGCTCTTAGCTAAAGCATGGCAATCTTTACTCTCGCAACGTACCACTGCCTTGCTTTTGTCTGGTATTTTTTTGTTGCCTATTCAATCACCCACGTAAGAACAGAAGAGCGGCCATCTGAAGTGTTCCTTTACGGTGGGCAGTGGAAATATTTGACAGTCCTCAATCTGGTAAGCAAATCGTGTTGTACAGTGATACCAACATGTCTATTTGTTTGTCTGCCATCTGTGCCTCAAGACATATGCAGCTGGTATATTTGCTGCTGTTAAAACTGCTTCCTTAAGCAGTTTATACCCCAAAGGAAACTAAGTAGGGATCCATGCTTCTGCTGTGAAAAGTATTCACAGGTTTTATGCAGAAAGAATATTGTCTGGTGAGCTGCATGGCTTTCAGAAAGTACTCTGAAGCTAGCTGCCTCCTTGTAAGAGAGGCAAGGTATCAGTGGGGAGAGGGACAGAAAGGTAGGGTATGTCCAGCCAGGACACATGCAAGTTTGATGCATGTTATCTAACTCTTAATTCAATACATGTTATAATGCTGCTTGGAGTTTTACTTCAGTTTTTTAATAGGCTTTTATGCCCTGTAAATGACAGAAAAGATAAAGCATAGCACGGTGCTAAGTTAGCCATTCAGAGTACATGCTCAGTTTGACAATCAGTTGAGAGCACAAGGAGAAGAAATTCCAGCCTGCCGAGAGAGGCGCTTGTGACATTATTACATGTGTTTTAAAGGTGCTATCAGCTGCTTGCTGCACCTCCTGTAAGTACACAGAAAAACATAGACCGTAGCGTGTTCTGTTTCTCCTAATACGCTAACATTTCACAAGATAGAAATCAAAATGGAAGCACGTGAGATACCCTGGGGGAGAAGGCTTGTTCACAGTCCAAGCGGTTCATCAGCGACTCGTGGCAGTGGAGTAGAAAGATCGGGCGTGTGGAGAGGGTTCCTACAAGGGACAAATTTCAGGGATACTTGCTAATCTGAAGGATGACCACAGGAACCTCTGTGGCCTTTTGTCCATTCTGTGTGACTGTCAGGGTTAAATGTCAGTGGGAGGTCTGGCCTGGGGTATGTTTGTCTCTACTTTTATTCTTCAGGAGGAGACATCCTATGGTTGGGTTCAATGGAAACGTAAAGGCTCCCCAGCTCCAACTGGGGCCTTTGGAGATCCCCAGGGAGTTGGGAAATTTGGGTTCCTTCCAATCTCAACTGTGCTGTGACTCCGTGAAATATTTGCAACCAAGAGGCGGTAAATGGCACGTGAGGCAGCTACAACAGCCCAGGTTTCAGAGAGCCACAGCACCCTTCTCAGTGGCCAAGCTGGCTGTGGAAGGAGGAGGGCACAGATATCGCTGCACTCAGGATGGCATATGTGTGTTTTGTTGCTATGTTGTCTTTGTATCAGTACATCTATTGAAAGGTCTAGAGCACAAGTCTTATGAGGAGCAGCTGAGGGAACTGGGGTTTTTCAGTCTGGAGAAGAGGAGGCTGAGGGGAGACCTTATCGCTCTCTACAGCTACCTGAAAGGGGGTTGTGGCGAGGTGGGTGTTGGTCTCTTCTCCCAAGTAACTAGCGATAGAATGAGAGGAAATGGCCTCAAGTTGCACCAGGGGAGGTTTAGACTTGATATTCGGAAAAAATTCGTTACTGAAAGAGTGGTCAAACATTGGAACAGGCTGCCAGGGAGGTGGTGGAGTCGCCATCTCTGGAAATATTAAAAAAAAATGTGTGGATGTGGCACTTGGGGACATGGTTTAGTGGGCATGGTGGTGTTGGGTTGATGGCTGGACTTGATGATCTTAGAGGTCTTTCCCAACCTTAATGATTGTGTGATTCTGTGATCTAGGTTTTTTGTGATATTTTAAAAATTAATTTTTCTGAAATGCCAGCCATCAAATGGTCAGGATTCAACAACCTTAAGGACATTCAGTTAATCCTGCTGGAACATATGTCTATAGACTAAAACACCACCAGCCATGTCCCATGCAAGGGACTGTGTGCCCAGGTTCTCTCCATTGTGTTTTGGGGAAAGCTGGCCCCATTACAGTGTCAGCCACACTTCCAGGCAAAACAGCATCTCCACCCCCATCCCCTGGCACCATTATAATGAGGTCTATCACCCAGTATATGACACAGCTCTAAAGCATGAGATCGAGATGAGAAAGTAAATAACCTATCTCCTAGTATTTTGGGGTGCAGAAACTCTCATTGAAATTATTATCCAGCTTCCCCTGGTGACCAGCAGCGGATGATCAGGGAAAGGCTGCACGAGACAAGAGCATGTGTAAGCATAAAATGAACTTTCCGTGGCTCTACGCTCACACTGGCATACAGACTTACAGAGCCAGAAAATAAATCCAAGGTAGCTAATACCCATTCAAAGCCTTCCATTCATCTATCTAGAGGAAAACCACACTTGTTTATACTTCTGGTACCTTCCCTATCCTGTGGCAATGAGCGTGTGTTGTGTGAAAGAGCAGTTCACTTTGTTGGTGTAAACCTGCTTCCTGACAACCGAATTGGATGCCTCTTTACTTCAGTGTTATCATTTAATCATCCGTCCCTGTTCACTTTTTCTTTGCCACTCATTAGAGACCTGTACCAGATTTTTCCCTCAGTTATTCTTTTCTGCAAGCTGGAACTCTGAGCCTTTTTCATCCCTTTTCACAACGGGCTGCTTCTTTCATTAAAGCATCCTTGTCGCCCTTTGCGGTAGTTTTTCTAGTTTCAGGAAGGGGTAAGTAGGGCAGGCTGCAGTGGTCAAGCTATGAGCACAGCATGGATTTACACAGTGGCCTAAAGGTGTTTCCTTGTCTGTCATTTATTTCTTCTTAACAATTTTTAACTCTCTATTTGTTGTTTTTGATTACTGGTGAGCAAGGAGCTGGCAATTTGAGAGCGCTATCCACAGAAAGTCCAACATTTCTTTCCTGGATGGTGACAGTTAATTTAGAACCCACTCTTAAAAAATGTATAATTGAAGTTGCCTTTTTGCTGAAATGCGTTACATTGCATTTACCAACACTGATTTTCGCCTGCTATTTGATCTCTCAGGCACTCAGTGTCCTGAGATTCTTTGGCAATTTTGTAGTCAGAGTTCATTTTGACAGGGAAAAAAAACCAAATTTACAAAGCTTTACCACCTCAGTGTTTGCTCCCTTCCCCAGCTCACTTATGGATCTGCTGAAGAGCTCAGATCTCATTAAATCTCCGTAAGCAGGAGCCCTTGCTCCACTTCTCCACTCCTTTGTCTTCCATCTTTTAACCAGTTATTGATCCAGTCCTGATGCAAAATTCTATGATTCTATGATTCTAAAATGGAGCTGTCATCCAACGGCGAGATGGTTTGGGCTGAAGACATTGCGTATCTTCAGAAAATGTGGCAACGGGACACGGTGTGCAAAATTACTCCTTCATGGCCGGTAGTCCTTCTTTTACAGAGATGTGGGTTTTTCTTAAAGGAAGAATTGCCAAGAAGGAAAGGGGCCAGGGAGAGAAATGCCCTCATCCCTCCTTCTCCTGTTGATCTGGACAGCATTTGTTGGTATCTCCAGGTGGCAAAAGTTTCCTGAACCACTGTATAAGAGGGGAAAAGGGTGAGAAGACAATGTGTCCCCATGTGGGGCTCTACAGGACCTAGAAGAGTCATCTCGTGGTTTGGCATTAAGGCACTCCCTGGTGCTGCTGAGGGGCATCAAAGAACAAGAGGTGGCCGTCAACCGCAGAAGTCCCTCAGCGCACACCCGAGGCATTACATTTCTGCGCCTTTGGAAGAAGTCCCAGGAGGTGCCTCGGGATGCCGGGAGGTACGGTCCCATGGAAGAAGAGGGGCAAAAGCTTCTCGCTGGGCTGTGCTGGTTCAGTGGAGCCCCTACGCTGGGCAGGGCTGGGCCATGCCTTGGAGACTTCCCAGAGCCAGGCACGCAGAGAGCTTGTCCAGTTCTTCTGTCGGTCTCCTGCCAGAGTGCAATCGCCTGGCTTCTGGCACTGGCTGGCTGAATCGTGTGGTAATTCTCCCCCCAAAATTCCTCTTAGCTCTTTGGTATTTCATTAAAAAATTTCTTTCTGTGGCCAGCTCGCTCTGATCTGAAATGGAAATAGTGGGAAACGTGACGTTTTCCAAGGATGAAAATGCAGCTTGACTCCTAGCTCTGCTGGAGGGATGCGAGCAGAATTTCTTCTAGATGTGACCCTCTTTTAGCATCTCATTCAATTTCTCGCTAGTCATGCGACTCTCCCAAGAGAGCCACAGCTCTGACGTTACTTCAGATTCATTTATCTAGTTAATGATCATAGCAATCAAGGTTCATAAAGGAAACATTTTTGTAGGGGAAAAAAAAAGAAGATAAGTGGGATTTGTATCAAAGGAGTTCATTGACCGATTATTGAACAAGCAGAAATGACAGATAAACACAGTTTTGTGTTCATTTGTCTGTGATACAAAACAGTACAAGCTGAGTCATTCACTGCCTGAAATATCCAGGCTCATAAAAACCTGCTCACTGCTGTAAATCTATTGGTAAATCATTGCATAATTAGCACACTGCACCTTTAAAAACTATTAATTGCATTCTTGCCCCATTTTATTCCTTATGCTTTTTTCTCTCATAATTGAAATGTTTTTCAATTCTCCTGAAAGCTTTTTTTTAAATTTCAAAACAGACCCCGTATTTAGTGTATATATTTTCCAAGTCGCTATCACGTGAATGGATGTGTGTCTACACTAAATGTTGATTGTTATGTCTAATAGCCTACTCAGAATATTGGATTTATCCCCCCTTAAGGGCAGAGCTTGGAGCCTGATTTATTTGTACTAGTTGGAGATTTCAAAATACACATATGGCTAGATCCTATATGCAAAAGTAAATCATGTCAGGTTAGTTAAACAGAAACACCCCTTTGATCACTGCAGCAGATAAAAATTAAGGTTTGTCTTTGTCACTATGACATGACTCTCAGTTTGGAAAATTGATCTGGCCAAATTAAGCATTTCTACCACACCTAGTGCCATGGAGCTCTGCAGGATTGAGAGGAAAGCAGCATCTCTCCAACAGGGATAATCATATCCATATTCTCCTCTTTGGGTTAATCATTAGCTTTCTGAATGCTTCGTCTTCCTTCTGTTCGTGGGGGAATACTTTAGGTGATCCTCTTTATTTACAGCCAGTGGATTTATATTCCATGAGTGGCTGCAATGGGTTTGTGAGCGCCAGCACTGCTGTTTGGGAAATTCACAGGACATCTGGACTAATTTGATGTTTTCATGTCAACTTTTTTTTTTAAATGTCAACATTTTCCCATTAGCGAAGGGCTGCAAGATTTGGATGCACCTTTCTTAGAGGAATAAGCCTGAAAGAGCATGGGCTTGGAGCTCTGACTTGGGTCTACCAGCGGTGCATCCTGCCAGGCTGAGCGTTGCTAGGAATGGTTCTAGCTAGGTTCAGTTTTCTGGCTTGAAAGTTACTTGTATATTCTTCCATTGCTCCTGGAAATACAGGGCGATCGCAAACTGACTGAAACCCCTTTGAACACACAGTGACGGACAAGGGTAGAGCTATGAGCAGTGCAAAAACAGATTCCCGAGACAGAGTTCAAGCTTATTCAGTTGTTGTTCTTCTCCATGTTCAGCCAGAGAAATGGGTCAGGTTACACATTCAGATAAGCATTTTCCATACGGAAGATAACATTGTCCTCCCCTGCATATGACAGAATATTTAGCAGGCTGAGAATGTGGCTGTTTTGGGACTGTTTCTTTTCAGAAATGTTTGTTTTAGTTAATTTTGAAGGGGGGGGAGAAGCAGCCTATCCCTGTCCCATGATTAATGTAAGGCTGACCATGAACAAGATAATAATAGCCCCATCCTCTGGGAACCAGGCCTCTCCCTAATTGCTTTATTGGCAATTAGTCACCATGTGTCACCAGACTGTCACCACCCTCATGTTCATTTTTCATGCTTTTTACAAAAAGTTACTGCTGACTCTACAGGGTATAACAAGAGGTTCTATTTATTACGAGGCTTTTCTTAGCTCTTCAAGAACTTGGTTTTGGTGGCCTGGAGGGGCGAAGGACTGGGGCAGACCTTTGGGTTGAACATGTGCTTGGGTCTAAGTGTGCTGTGCCTCAGTAAGGACTTTGCTGAACTAGACCTGTGATTTGGAGGGCTGAATCCCTGCTGACCGAAACTGTGCCTGCAGTTACAGAGGCTAAGTGTGATAATGGGGGGGGTGGGGGGAGAGAGAGAGAGAAAACCACATTTAAAAGAGCTAGTTTGGGTGCCTCAGAATTGAACACAACCATATGTGGGTTCTGATGAAGCTGTTTGGGTTTTTTAATGTAAAAATGTGGATGTTCACCCGTGCTTTTGAGAGGAAACATGGGGCTTTGCAGCTGAACCGAGTGGTGCATGACCTCCGATATCTCATCCTGGATCACCCTGGGCCAGTCACCCAGCCTGCATCAGCTACATCCACCACTGTGGGTCTGCGTAGGGAGCGGGGACACTCCACCAGTGGCATCTGGCTGCAGTCCACTGTGGTGACCATCTAGACTGTGGAAAGGATAGGGAACCCAGCTGAACATGAGCCAGCAGTGTGCCCAGGTGGCCAAGAAGGCCAACAGCATCCTGGCCTGGATCAGAAATAGTGTGGCCAGCAGGAGTAGGGAAGTGATTGTGCCCCTGTACTCCGCACTGGTGAGGCCGCACCTCGAATCCTGTGTTCAGTTTTGGGCCCCTCAATACAAGAAGGATGTTGAGGTACTGGAGTGTATCCAGAGAAGGGCAACGAAGCTGGTGAGGGGTCTGGAGAACAAGTCTGATGAGGAGCAGCTGAGGGAACTGGGGTTGTTCAGTCTGGAGAAGAGGAGGCTGAGAGGAGTCCTTATCGCTCTCTACAACTACCTGAAAGGGGATTGTGGTAAGGTGGGTATTGGTCTCTTCTCCCAACTAATAAGTGATAGAACAGGAGGAAGTGGCCTCAAGTTGCGCCAGGGGAGGTTTAGACTCGATATTAGGAAAAATTTCTTTACTGAGAGAGTGGTCAAGCACTGGAACAAGCTGCCCAGGGAGGTGGTGGAGTCGCTGCCACTGGAAGCGTTCAAAAAAATGTGTAGACATGGCACTTCAGGACGTAGTTTAGTGGACATGGTGGTGCTGGGTTGATGGTTGGACTTGATGATCTTAGAGGTCTTTTCCAACCTTAATGATTCTGTGAAAAAGGATGCTGGGGATCCACAAAATGGTTGTGGATAACTGCGAAGATACTTTGGTCATGCAAACGACAGTCATTTTGCTCCCCAGGAAGACTCAGTCTCTGCAAACTAAAGCTTGGAGGAACCCTTGATTGACAATGGGCATGGTGAAATCACAATCCCCCCCTTCCCTCAAATATTTTGATAATAAAGGAATTTCTGATGGCAAAGCATTGCACTAATTCTGTCCCCTCCCAAGCACCACCCTTCTCGGCTCCTTCAGAAACTGATGAAGTAACCAGCCACAACTTCAGACTCTTTGCTCTAAATAAATATCTGATTCAGAGTAAGATCATGGCAAAAGACATCTCATCCTGAAAGCTGTAACACAGCCTCTTTCCATTTAAGCATTGCTAGCCGGTCCAGTGTTTGCAGTAGGCTGTATTTCCCATATTGCATCACTCTGGGACAACCTAGCCTTAAAAGAAGAGGCCGCTCTGTGAGTTAACAGAACTGAACTAGATTCAGTGCTGAATGCAAGATAGCAGGAGAAGTATTCTTCTGCAAGGCTTTGCCCTTGTGCATCTGACAAATCTGGTTCAGCTTGATCCACTGTGTAGCATTAGGAGAGAAAGTGAAGAAATCAGAAAAGCAATATTGACCAAACCACAATATTGTGACAATTTCATACACAATTTGTGGAATTCTCTTCTGTCACTGCACGCTTACCTAATTCCTTACCAACTCCTCCTAGTGCCCATCCCAAACAGCCCCACCCTCATTACTTTTAAATGGTTTAAAGAAAGAAAAAAAAAAAACAAAACAAAAGAGAACCCACCCCCCCAGCTCCAAAATTCATTAGTTATAAATAGTTAAACTTACTCAGTTTTAGTTAGTGAAGTCTGGATCTCTGCTTCTAAGCACTTGAAATCCTTTCCTGAATCCCTCTGACTTCAGTGAAAGAGGTTCTGGTTTGGATAGCTTCTGCACCTAATTCTCAAGAGCTACTTGACACTGAGATCAGCTGCACCGTGAGTCCCCAGAAAGAAGGCCCTGTGTTGACTAAATAGCTATCTAGCAATCGCTTTACAGGAAACGTTTCCTGGCAGATTTTGCTCTCTTCTGCTCAGATACATTGAACAATTAGCATAGGAGGTGTGAAGGAGCTGGCGTCCAACATGTCCTTCCACCTCTCCCATCTGAATCGCATCACACATCTCTGTTTAGTCTATTAAACAAGATACTGTTAAAGTTATCTCCCGAACAACTTTATTTAATCACTTTCAGTTATTAAAAAAGATTTAGCCAACAGCTATTTCCCTCACGCGGGCTCGCAGCTTCGGAACAAAACAGCTCCCTGAAGAGCAAGAACAGAGTTCATTGAGGAACATGCTAATGAAAACTGGATGAGTTTCCCTCATTAGATGTAATTACTTTAGGCTTTGCAGGCTGTCTTCTATGGGGTGTCCTTCCTGGCTGATGTGTTGAGACTAATGAAGAAACTGCGATGTGCTAAGTGCGTAATTTCCAGCAGAGACCTTCTTTTCAGTGTCCTGGCTTTCCCAGTGTCCACAGTAAGTAACCTCTGTATGTAAAAATAATGTTTGCATAAATGATTAGGGGTGTATAGGTATAAATGTATAAAATAGGTAAGAACTGTAGGCTTTCTTTTACGATTTGAAAATGGATTTGGACCATTTAGAAGGAGAAACAGTGCTGAGCCTGTCATGGTTGAATGCAAAGGCTCTTGAACAAACTTTAGGGTTGCTGTCCCTGAGTGAACAGAGTGACCCCAAAGGGTGAATGAGGTGTAACCTCTCCGTTAATCCCACGGTCCAAATAGCTGTGGCTTTATCAACTTAGGGCATTTCTCTAAAGGGCAGCATGGGCCAGGAGGACATGAGAGGGTACCTAAGAGGCAACAAAATTTCACATCTCCTCTGACTCCAATGTGGCTTTAAATAAGTGCTGGAGAGAAACAGATTCACAGGACAGTACTTATAGTCACTCAGGTTCACCACAGATCACCTACTCGCTCACAGGCAATGCTGTTTATCAAAATGCTGTTTATCTGGTGCTGTGGGTTGGATGGGAACCGATGGGTTACTTCTACATGTAGGTACTGCTCTGTGTGAGTGAAGCCTGCCGCCACCTCTGAATCCCAAAGGGCTGAGAAGCTGCTTAAATCTGGTCCACAAGCAGGTCAGCCAGCTGGCTCACTAAAAGTTCCTGCCAGGAATGGAGACAGAGAGACTGGCTAATTTATCTTCCCAGCATAGCAGTATTCGTGATACTGCTGTCATATTCCCCCCAGGCATCCTCACCGTGCCCACAGGACAGATGCACAGGGTAGTCTCATTCTTACAGCATCTCACACCCCTGATTTCCGACCCCAAGCACAAAGCGTGCTCAAACGCAAAGACAGACCAAAAAGTGCAAATCAGCTTCCAGGTATTAGTAACCGATACCAGGGTTCATGTCCTCTAGTTAAGTTTTCCCACTGTAAATCCTCCTCTGTTGGGAAAAAAATGGGTGCCCACAGTGCAGCTTGCACCTGCAGTTTAGGAATTAGGCTTACGAATTGTGCAGATAAGGGTAAGTTTTATGTGAACTGTTTTACCAAGATCTGTTTTTACTTTGTTACTGAGCAGAACAAATGCTGTGGCTTGACAGCCGATCCCTTGAGGAGAACTTCTGGACTATCAAAAGATCTCATCTGCAAAGAAAAAAAAAAAAAAAAAGAAAAGAAGTTTAAAGTCATTCTAGTATTCCACAAAAAATGTCAGCATTGGCAGTTTATAAAAGAGGTTTTTCTTGCAGTATCAACACAGAACACTGCACCTCAGAGTAAATTCCTTTATGTTGTAGAATGTGAGATACGTGAGTTTTTCTGACAATATCACCATTTTTCATGTAAGGAGATGTTTTGGCTTCTCATAAACGAAAGCAGTAGCCAAATCCTATCAATTATGTTTGTCTTTCATTTTGAAATTTCTTTCATTTTGTATTTTGGTTCCAGTTTGTGTGTCTATCCTTTTGGATGCTGTATACCTACAATCGAGAGCTGGTTTACCCCAAAAGCCTTGATAGAGTCATCCCCCTATGGTTAAATCATGCTATGGTGAGTAAGAAACACTCCTGCCTCTTGCAGAGAAGAGAGACTTTGCAACGTGTGTCCCACCGTTGCATTGTGTCGCTTCCCAGAAGAGTTTCACAGCTTCTTCTTTCTCACCTCCTCTTTCCTACTTATGTGAATCTGATGTTGAGCTGTACGCAGCAAACAGATGCATGTGCTTGAAGTCACCTCAAGAAGCCTTTTAGCACACAAGGAATGTCAGTGACTTGGTGCTTGTCAAAACTCTGAAGTCAATGAAATGCTGTGTAGTCATAAGGGAAAAAAATCTTCTTGGTTATTGTAGCTCAAAAAATAAATTGTTTCTGCAAACAGAAGTCTATGAAATACAAAATGTCTGGGAGTATAACAAAGCAGTTCTTAATTTTTAAAAAAGGTGAAAGAACCAAAGAACATCTGACGGCTCTACAGCTAATAAGCTAATGTGTGCACAGCTCTGAATAGCTGAATTGCAATGATTGTTTACAGATTTTCTATAAATACTTTCCAGATTCCTCCTTCATTTGCTCTGGCTGTTTTTATGATGTGTTGAATAATCACATATTTCTCATCAGTCAAGTGTAAGAAGGCTGACAGTAACATGGAAACCGTGGGTGGACTGTAAGGTCAGGGAGGCCTCATGGGGCTAATGGGAAGGGGGAGAGAAGGGAGAGGTTCAGACTGAATCAGAGAAGCCAAAAAGTATGAAATAATCACACAGAAGACTCATTTCTTTCCAGACTTCATTTCTTAAGTACAACGCTTTGCAACCCACTGCAGCAGTTCCCGACACGTGTTGAAGGTAAATGCGGGAGGCTTTGGGGTGTCTGGCTGAGGAGACTTGCTAAAGGCTTTGAGCAGCCGCTTGATTTAGACAAGCGTATTCAGATACGCATGCCTGGAATCCAAACGCACATAGGCATGTCTGCATTACTGATATCCGAGTGATAAAATGCAGCCATCATGCACTTTTAACCTTATCACCTGCTCTCTGCCCACCAATTCTTCTCCACCAGGGCCTTTATGTGGCTGTCCAAACCTCTGCACAGACGCAAACGGGCACCACTCTCTCTCAAAACCATCATCCACCAAAAAGAAAGATTGCCCATGTCCTCGGCATCACGCTGGTTTCAGGTCCAGGATTTGGTCTGGGCGACTGGTTGAAGTTTAAAATCTTCACGGTAGTGGAGGTGCCAGGGAAGGGGAACGCACAGGGTGAAGCTTAGAGGAGATGGGCTTTGCTGCTTGTTTTAATCCTGGTGCACAGCTGAGAATTTGTCCTTTCCATTTCCGCATTTGTTTATGACATGGGAAGATTGAGAGAGTGCTAGAACGTACGTTTTTATTTCATGTGCACAAGATCTTTGCAGGAATCCCTCAAAGGTATTCGTTATAACTTCTTTCTTACCCTACCTACATTTTCATTTCATAACAGAGTCATTTTGACAACAACAAAAAGCTTTTCCATTTCAGAAATGTCAAAAACAGATGTTAAAAAAGGAAAACAATTCTTCCTCAAAATTATTTTGATGAGTGAGAAACTTCACATAAAGCAAACCTCTATCACAACCTAGTATTTTATTTCTAAAGCTCTTAATACACTGCAGACATCTTGTGCTTGACAGTTCCTAGGTGGGAGATTTTCATTCCAGTCACTATTGAGCTTAAAAAATCTGCCACTAGCGTAGACTGATCCCCGCCATTGAGAATCCTCACATTCTGGGACACCTTCCAACAGGTGCCTTCAGGCTTAGCTGGGGCGTTTCTTTCTTCCAACCCAAAATATCCACTGGGAACACTAGGAAGATCCAGGGAGCTACCAACACTTTAAGGGACAATCTCCAATTTCTGATTGCCAAGCAGATGCTTTATCTTTGGGTTCATTTCCTTGCACATTGCTATACTTCTATGGCTCTGAGATTACAGACATTTCATGGCAGATTGAGGCAGCATCTAGCTGGCTTTGGTGGAAAAAGACATCAGTGTATCATAGTAGACTTCAGTGCCATATCGTTTGCAGTGGGAGTATTTTTTTTTGTCTTGGACTATTTTAACATTGTAAATAGGGAAAGCATATGTTGTTATGTAACTGAAGAGTGAACCTAAAAAATAATCATGCAAAAACACTTCAAGAATACCAAGCTCTTTGAGTTCATGGTGATGCTGCAGCACTTTCCTTGCAAAAATGAACTAGCCATTTATTTTTCTCACATTTACTGCTCTTACAGTTGGAAAGTGACGTTGCCCACCTGGTAGCCCAGAGTCATACAGAGAGCATTACATTTTAGGCACGTTTTTGCACTCTAAGCAGAAACATTTTTTGTTTTGCAGAAAGGATGGCTAATGCAGCAGGGAATCTTGCTAATATTTGAAGGAGGACAAATACTCCAGACTACCTGAGTTTCTCTCTTTGCCTTTCTCCTGAGTTTAACCCAAGGGCTTCACCTCAGTCTCCACTTGTTTGTCTGGGATAATTATGTTTTACCATCTTTATACAAAGCTTTGAGCTTCATGGATTAAAAAAAACCCACCTACTTATGTCTCAAGCACAATTATTTTATTTGAACAACATTTTCGAAGTGGAAGATGGCTGAGACAAAAGATACACTGGCCAATTCATCAAGTGAAATTGTTTATTTCTTTCCCAGTCATCTCTTTTCAAGCAACATCTGGATATTCTCCAGAAAGCAACTAACTGCTGGAGGCAGCTAGGATTAAATCATGTGCCTGTATTATTCAACTTAATGGCAGTATAGGGGAACACTACGTTTTGAAGAGGCTGACAGAATTGAACACTAAGCAAAGAGGGGCAATGATGGGTCAGCAAAGAGCACTGGAAAATATTTTAATCTATACCAAAAGAAAAGAGACACATCAACATTGACCAGATATGTTCACAAAAATGGTAATTGTGCAATTGCCTTTTTGCAAAGGAGGTTCATATTTTCAGCCTGTAGGGCATAACTCTTGTAAAATGCTAATTTTCTCGTAAAAATTACAATTTTATTCATTTTCAGGCTGCAGCTAAGTTTAGTTTATCCATCTCTTCCTAATTTATTCTGTAGCCATAATACCCTCTCATCTTGACAAAAATCAGCATGTTAGTGTCCTGGGCACTTTACTGACACATAGTTATGAACTGTGCATGTTCTGAAGACCTTGTAAGCTAAAAAACTAAGACTAAAAAAGGAGGGATTATAAATGAAGGCGCAGAAGAAAAATTACTTACCTGGCAGACTTTCAGCAAGGATGACAACAGACCCTCAGCCTCTCAAGCTCCTTTACACTTTGCTCCGATGTAGCTAAGCAGTATCTGAATGTAAAAAGAAAACGCAAAGGCGAGAAAGAAAAACCTGGGTGCACATAAATAATTTTCCTTCACTGAAAGAAGCCACTGATGCCCTGACAGTAAGAATACCAGCAAGACTCACCATGTCCCCTCTCATCTTGGAGCTTCTTGGTATCTACAAGCTGCTTGTGTTCTGCCCACATAGCTAACCTATTACCTTCCCTAGTGTGGACACAATTACTTCAACAGAAATGTTATTTTGGATCGGTATGACTTAATTCCATCTGAAAAAGACAATAAGTTACATGAATACAAATTACTCCTGTGTGAGGCCATCTATGTGAAGGATTATGTTTTTCTACAGCTATTTTAGGAAGCTGCTGCAACACTACTCAACCAGTGTGGCATAAAACTAGTGTGTGGAGCAGAACCCACTTGTCCAGGCTACTCTAACTGGACTTCTGCTCCAGATGTGTACACAAGAACCTCAGATTCATCTTTGACCATCTTAAACAATTCTCTTTGCAATTGTCATTTAATGCTTGATAATTCTTGCATATTTACACAAGAGAGAAACATTTCCATTTGTTTGCATTTCACAGTATCTCAATTTTAACTATGGACATTCATAGGCTTCCAGTTACGTTCAGCTTTTGGCAAAGAAGAAGAATGTGTGTGTGAGGGATATGGCACGTGAAATTAATCACCCCACATATTTAAGAGCAAAGATGCTTGGCTTTTCCCAGCACTACATATATATTTTTCTGAAGTTTCCATTTTTGTTGACATAAGCCCATTTCCTTAGGGAGAAAGTATGTGTTTCACAGACAAATGTTATGGCAGGGAATCCTCCCTGGTTGCTGCTACCCCAGTGTGCACAGGTGCAGTCTCCGTAACCCACCCCGTGAAGGAACAGCTGGAGACAAATATTCCACAGTGAAGGATGTGTCACTTCAGTCTCATGTCAGCTTCCAGCTGCAGTGCAACATCAGTTTCTTAGACTACGTATCTAATGTCAGGGAGAAATGCAATTAAAATTCTGGCATTGACACAGAGGCAAAACATTTGCTAGTAAGCAATAGGATATTCAGCCAGGGCCTTATTTGCAAAAATGCATGTGTGCATGCAGGAAATGTTCTCTCTGAAGCTCTTTTACCTTTGATCATACAATTGGTCTGATGTTTCATCCATTTTTCACAATACTGCTCCCAAACTAGCTACATGCCTCAGAAAAGAAAAATAATGTTGCTTTTCAGATGAGCATGAACAGACCTGGAAAGGGCAGAAACAGATAGTAGCTGACCATTTGAAGAGGAGTGCTGCTGCAGTTCAACTGAGCAATAGCTCTCCGATTGATTTGTCACCACATCCGCTCAGTAACAGGACTCCTGGTGCCTCCTGCTCTCTCCATAAAATAAATCTGTGGTTCCCTGAAAATGCACTGATGGCTGAGAATATAAAAGACAGGTAGTAACTCTAAGAGAAAATAATTTCTTTAACTAAACATGGCAATGTACTAGTTAAAGAAATACAATGAACAATAATGCTCAAGCCCCTCCCACCCTGAAAAATAAAGAGAGGTTAAGAGAGGAAAAGAGGGGAAGAAAAATGTATAGGACAGATTACAAAAGAAAATTTTAAAGGAGGCATTTGAATGAAGGCAGTGTCATAGCAAAATAAATAAAAAGAGTGAATTTGTTCCAAAATGAAGTCAAGAAAG